TGTGGTACAGCTGGGTTCATATTCTTACCCATGGCAGACTAAAGCTAAGCCATGGTATTTTAGTCCTTATTCCAGGATTACTGGAATAAAAAAGACTAAGGTACTAAGAGATAAAAGTGTGCACATGGACAGTTACTTTGGAGCTGCTGATACCTAATAAATTACAACTCTGTTATCATGGTAGCTGGTTTGTGGGCAAAAAACAAGTTATTCCAACCATAACTATAAAAATATCTTTGTTTCTATCAACATACTTCCAGGATGTCTCTCACAATAGTCTCTTAGTACCTTTCAGTATAAAAGAATATATCCTCATGTAACCTTTGGGAGTGCTAGCTTGCTTGTTTTATAAAAGAAGAATAGAGGCAAAGAGATTGAAACTTCATTTCAGGAAAAGTTCATAAGGAGATGTTTAAGTATATGCTTAAACTCCCATGACTTGAGTAGGCGTTTAAGGTTAGGATTAGCCCTGAATGAATAGGCACAACAATCAGAACAAAATAAGGAACTTGCCCAAAGTCAAAGATTCAATTTGTGGTAGATTTCTAAATCATAGTCTAGTACTTTAACCTTTTAGGGACAATAGCAAAATAATTTCATAAGTATATCACATTTTATAAGATTTACCTGGAAAATATGAAGCATAACCACCTCCCTTCACTGAGTAAAGCTGAGTTATTGTGAGATACTGTAGTATATTTTGTAGCATCTTACTGGCATTTTTATGCTAAAATTAAAATTACTTTTTTTTCGTCATCGCTTCACTTTCTACAAGACATATAACCACCGTGCCCCCCCCAGTTTGGTGGCCTTTTCTGGAGTTAATGCTTGAGAGAGATCCCCCACCTCTTTTGCTATTCAGAGAAAAAGGTACTTCCAAGGTAAGTGTCAGAAGCAGAAATATGAATGGATTAAGGAATGTCCTGAGGAAATGAGAGAAGGGGAGAAGATACAACAAGGATATAGCACTGCACTATGTAAATGTCTGCTATTACTCTGAATGGACAATAGTGACAAATGAACTCGGGATAAATCCCCAAATATACCATGAAGTCATGTCTAGGGCTGCTGCCTGCTGCACTGTATTTACCTGCAACAAAGACCTAAACTTCTATCCATTTTTCATGTTGGCAGAGCTCTTCTAGTCTATTATGCTACCAACGTGCTTTGATGTGAAAACAGCTTGATAAATATCTCAAGTAAAAACCTATTCTGATTTTAAGTCATTAGAAATGTTGCCATTGAGTTTAGTAGGGCCAGGATTTATTCCCTTGAGGATATACTGCATAAGTGGTTGATGCACTGAAAAGGAACGAACAACAATCCTCAATACTTAGGCTTCTTCTTAAAAGCTGTGTTGTCACGCCTCCACCATAACTTCCTCTCCGTGTAAGTAGATTGTGCTAAACAGAGCTTCTACTGTTTAGAGCAGAACTGTTTTAATACTGCTATGAAGAACTGGGTCACAAAGTGAGTAGTAGCTTACACCATACTGATTAACAATAGTAAAAATCTTTAACATTAATCACGGACAAAGCAGAGTATGAGAAGCCCTTTTCCTTTTTTTCCTTTGTTTCTTGTCTGATACCCACACTGAGATCACTTTCTTCAGCTTCCTGTCTACATATAGTAAAAGAAGTTGTAAGATAGAAATGTTCCCTAACAGGAGACCAAGGGAGTTGGGGGTTGGGAGTTGTTCCCTCAGGACATTTATAGATGTGCTCCAGAAGGCAGCAAGCTTTAATTAGCCCAGATCTGAGAGCCGAAGTAATTAAAAGCACCCAGATCATCACATGCATCAGCATACTCACGGTGAAAAATGGCGGTGGGGTGCTTTGAACTAAAGCTCATAGAACGAGCTTTAAAGCTCCCTGCTGTCATTTTTCTGTGGGGGGACACTGACATACATGACACTGGAGTCTACTGGGCATGGCAATTACCACACTCCAGCAGACTCGATTAATCAAGTCTGCTTCAATGTGCTCTAATTCCAGTGCGTCGGAGCAGCCTCCCTGCACATGTATAGGAGCTCTCAGCTAGGAAGCAACTAGCTAATTAGTCAGTCTCAGCTACACAAAAGGTTTGCAGTGTTAGCCTTCAGTTCCACAATAAAACTTGTTGTTTTAGTTTTTCTCATTCATCTCATGCCTTCATTTATCAAATCTGGTGCTTATGACCCTACACTCCTACAGAGGTCTCAGTTGACATAGAAATCCTCCTACAGGTTTTAGAGACAGAGACCTGTGCTTCCCCAGCTCTCAAAGAAGTAAAAGAAAGAAAGAAACACCTCTAAAGCACAGCAATTACTGAGATTTGAGGCAAGAGCTGAGGTTTCAGAATTTTTACAGGTCACAAAAATGACTGACAACAACATTAAACTTCTATTAGAACATTAATCATACTGTAGGATTCATGGTGTCATATTCCAGAGAAGAGCTGTTTCTTTGGCCCCATACTAGAGCCCTGCTGAGGATTACAAATTTAGTCTTGCTCCCGTTCCCACCCACTCCTGTTTTATTTTCTCGCACTTTAATTTATTTTAGTTTATCTATTAAGTGAGGGGCCTGTAACAATACAAATCCTGCTGAACTGCATATGGGGGATAGTTTTTTAACACATCAATCTGAGCTCAAGTATCTTTCTCTGAAAACTGAAGAAAAAGATAAAAAATGAAGTCTATTTTTGTGAATTATCCCATGAGCCAATTTTTTTATGATCCAACCGTACATCAATAAAACTGGTTCTTCCTAGCATGCTGGTAGGCCCCTTCATTGGGCCACAGCTGACACAAAAACTAAGCCAAAGAAATCCAGCCATGCACAAGGGCTATGGAAATTTTTCATGGGCTACAAAGATTTTTCATTTTCATTTTCATTTGCTCCCTCTGTTTCTCAAGAAGTAGCATACTTTCAATTGTGCAGGGCACTAGACCAGATGATCCTTGAGTTTCCTTCTAATTGTATTTTAAGGAGCCAACAGCAATGCAGTGCTACACTTCTGTGACTGTACAGCTTTATAGAGGAAGATAAAAATTGTCAAAGCACTTAAAAGCGAGGAAGAATTTAATTCACACCAAATTCTATCAGAGTCTATAGTCTGACTGTATATTCACAGAAAACCCTGTAACCCTTGTGCCATGGCATTGCATATCAAGTTAAACAAAAATAAGCTGAGTCCTAGGCTAAATGTCTCTTCACAGGGGGAAAATGTAGCATCAGCATTTTGTGTATGTCAATAACCATTTTGTACTGAGAGGAATCACAGGCACCTCTAATCACATCTGATCATTGTTTGGAGCAATTCAGTTATTCTCTCATATCTGTGTTACTAAATGTTCTCATGCCCATTTACCACATATTCTGTCAAATGTCTAATCCTTACTGACAACTGACATTTTCAAAGAGTAGCATAAGTACATTATAAACAACAGAGTCTCTGTCAGTTCCCACAAATTAATACTGCTATAGGAAGGTTGGGCAATTTTTAAATACATATAGACAATTAAGATAAAGAGGATTGTGAATGCTGACAGTCCTTAATCATAACCATTCTTCTGTGTGCCACTGTTATAAAAAACAGATAAAAGATTTGAAAGCAGTAATTAGCTAGTTCCTTCTTATTATGAAATGCTGCCTTATTTATTTTTGTAGCTTATCGAATCTATCATTAAATTAGTAACTGTACTGAAGTAATGAAATGGCAGACATCAAGGAGCAGTTCTTTACAGAAAATGCAGTTACTCTAGCCAGCTATGATTCCAGAGTAACCAGAGCTACTTAAAGGGCTGCCATAGACAACGCTGAGTACAGCAACGTTATTATATTACTTATATTATTATAAGCAAAGCATATGCATTGCTTTAAATAGTAAAAACAGTTTGTAGCATGAGCTAAAGTTGGTAACTAAGAAACAGCATCCTCATTTGTCAGGATTCCCAGTGAGAAAAGCAGCTCTATGCAATGACAGTGTTATAGGGTTGAATAAATAGCCATAAAAGTTGCCTTGTATTGCACAGAAGCTTGCAGATGGTGGATGAATTCATGACTGTCACGTTTTTATAATACATTGACTTTTACATATAGCTGCCAGCTGGAACATAGTTTTGTAACTAGAATATAAATCTAAGAATTACAATATCTTTCAGAGTGCTCTCAGCATTTCAAATAAAAACACATTTAGAGACAGGTTTTGAAGCATAAAGCAGATTTAAGAAAATCTTATGGGATGTAAATTAAAACCCAAAATAGGCCAAATTCCATCTTACTGTGAATCAGCTCAGCTCAATGCTACAGAGGTTTAGCCTGACATGTTTTGTCCCCCCCCTTGAGTAGAGAAAAAAATACCACACAGAACGTTTAATGCAAATGTCATAAGAGCTACCAAAATCCAAACATAAATGGCAAGGTAAGATTATTTGGAAAAAGCTTTGAATTAAATTTACTCGTAGATTTTGTATAAATTAACCTTAATGCAATATGAAACTCATCTCTCACATAAGATTAAACCAAGCATCAAGTACAGAGCATGAAGCACAAATGCATTTAAACCTGGACTTATTATTAATGTGCTTACATATTAAGAAAGAGCCCACAGCCTCTCTTTATGTTGGGGAATGCCCAAACACAAAGGCCGAAATTTATCTCTATTCTATATATATCAACTTTTTATAAAGAAACAGAAAATGATCAAATTTACAAATTTAGTCATGGCTGGATAACATAACAATATCTTGGGATCTGGTTTTCTAAATTTGACCAGCACCACAAATAATGTAGATAGTAAAGAAGTGGATTGCAGAGCTGGAGAGGGAGGGAATAATTTCCCTTTCAATGAGTTTTTTAAAAGTCTGATTTGATGACAGACTTGAGCTGACTCCTCTGAGGAAGCTTCAAGTATTGTTGATGTACATATAATTCCATGCTTGAACCCATAAGGCCTTTACAACAGTTACGATCAAACATGATTGGGAAATCTGATGAACTTCTTGGATGCATACTTACATTGTGCTTTGTGAGGTTGGAAATGTTAGTTGCTATTGCTTGTAGCCAGTCGATACAGTCCTCAGCAGAGAGACACTGAATTATTCCACTGCAAACCCCATCCACAGCAATTACTTGGAATGCATTTTGCCTGTGGACACATCACAACAGATCAGGTCAGAAGCATATTTCTTCTGTTCTAAAATACCATCTTAACCATACTTGTAGAAAAACTTTTCTTTCAACTATAATGAAGGTCAACCACTGAATTCATATATCTCATTGGTTTTTCAGTTTTATAAATATCTGACACATTAGAAAGAATGTAATGCAAAGACAGGACATCCACAAAAATTAGAATGGCTCCTTAAAGTTGCTGACAAACATTTTCAAACTTGGCTGCTTAAAGTTAGGTGTCCAAATCCATATTTAGCTAGGTAATTTAAATTCCTACATTTAGAAACCTGTCTTTAAAATCCCAGGTTTGACAATCCTGGATTTTTATTTGAAAATAATGGTCCCCTCTACAACACACCTCTTCTAAGGTTTAATTCCTAGAGTGGTATTATAAGCAAAATATTTGTTCATGCAGCTTCAGAAGTAGAATAAATTGGAGTAGCTGGTGCATTTTAAAGTCATTTAATGTGCATTTTATCTGGACTTGTATCTGGAGTTTACACTAACATAAGTGAACAAAGTAAAATATATAAAAAAAACAACCATACTAAATATAACAATGAGATTGGGCATCCCTTGATGACTGATCAGTGTCTTGCATCCTAAGATGTGGAATGTTTCTTTTTATCTCATATTTATCAACAGTTAAAAGCAGTCCTTCCTGAAACATATTATGAACACACTATTTTATTCTTAACAGTTGTGAAATTTCTTTTTTAGTTTATTCTTTAAATTCAGTGAGCTTTGTATCTATGTCGTATCTAAATATTCCATATTAACATTGACAGGTTATGGAATCATAGAAAATTAGGGTTGGAAGGGACCTCAGGAGGTCATTTAGAACACCCTCCTGCTCAAAGCCACACCATCCCCAACTAGATTATCCCACTCAAGGCTTTGTCTAGCTGGGTGGGGTTATGGGAATGTTTACGAATGATCCTCTCCTAAATTACTTACAAAAGGACTGGAGAATTCAAAACTGACCAAATGTAGCTAGAATGATTCTTCATATTGAATTTTTGCAATATTTGAACATAAACAAATACCAAGGAAGTACTTGAATGTATGAAAAGTGTATGAGACATCCATAGATATAAGCAATGGCCATCCAAGTGTTCTGTATCTCAGTATCAT